AGCTATATAGAGATATTGTTAAAGTGTAACTAAAGGCTAAACTTTTTTTTTTTCAAACTTTGGATAAAGTGGAGAGGAGTTAGAACACCTGTCAGTTTTTATTGCTGTCTGTGACCACATTAGAGAGATTCGCCCCTCCTGTTAACTGTTATCATCAAAAGCAAAAGCTTATAAATTCCCAAATTTCGGGTTAACATCAGAACAGTAATAGAGAGGATATCTTCCAATGGAGACTCTAGTTCTGGTAACCTGGTGACTCCCCAGGATTCCCTCAATTTGGAGGGATTTTTTTTTCTCACTTCCTCTTGTTTTATCCATGGCCGGATCTAGGGGGGTGTTGGGGTGGGGAGGGCTGTGCCGCCCCCCCCCCCAGATTGCAGCTGCGCCCACTCAGGTAACCCCCCACGGATACTGTGCCCAGGCAGGGTTGCCAAACCATTGGTTAGGGTAGCAGTCTGGAAGGGCGGCTGGCTGCATCTGCCTAGTCTCAGTGTGTCACAGACTCCAGGCAGCAAGCTCTCCCCCCCTCTCCTCTGCATAGACAGGAGAAGAGACAGGACTCGATCTGCCCCTCTCCTCCTGTCTGCCTCACCCACACACGGTCAGTGCGGTGCCTCAGAAAGGGAATGTGGGTGGGAAATATGAAGTACAGCACCTGGAAGCAGCAAACATCTCTGCATGATTGATGATGCTGCCTGAGTCTTCCGACCCCCAGCCTGGGGTGAGTAAACTCTGAGCACTACTCTATGATTGACCCCACCTTCCTCCCTTCTCTGCCCCTCCCTGAGACCTGTCCCCATCTTCCTCCCTTCTCTGCCCCTCCCTGAGACCTGTCCCCATCTTCCTCCCTTCTCTGCCCCTCCCTGAGACCTGTCCCCATCTTCCTCCCCTTCTCTTGCCCCTCCCTGAGACCTGTCCCCATCTTCCTCCCTTCTCTGCCCCCTCCCTGAGACTTGTCCCCATCTTCCTCCCTTCTCTGCCCCCTCCCTGAGACCTGTCCCCATCTTCCTCCTTTCTCTCCCCGTACCTGAGACCTGTCCCCATCTTCCTTCCTTCTCCCCCCCCCCCTCCCTGAGACTTGCCCCCATCTTCCTCCCTTCTCTCCCCCTCCCTGAGACCTGTCCCCATCTTCCTCCCTTCTCTGCCCCTCCCTGAGACCTGTCCCCATCTTCCTCCCCTTCTCTCCCCCTCCCTGAGACCTGTCCCTATCTTCCTCCCTTCTTCCTCCTCCCTGACACCTGTCCCCATCTTCCTTCCTTCTCCCCCCCCCTCCCTGAGACCTGTCCCCATCTTCCTCCCTTCTCTCCCCCTCCCTGAGACCTGTCCCCATCTTCCTCCCTTCTCTCCCCATCCCTGAGACCTGTCCCCATCTCCTCCCTTCTCTCCCCCTCCCTGAGACCTGTCCCCATCTTCCTCCCTTCTTCCTCTCCCTGACACCTGTCCCCATCTTCCTTCCTTCCTTCCCCCCCCTCCCATGAGACCTGTCCCCATCTTCCTCCCTTCTCTGCCCCTCCCTGAGACCTGTCCCCATCTTCCTCCCTTCTTCCCCTCCCTGAGATCTGTCCCCATCTTCCTTCCTAATCCCCCCCCAATCCCTGAGACCTGTCCCCATCTTCTACCTTCTCCCACCCTCCCTGAGACCTGTCCCCATCTTCCTCCCTTCTCCCCCTCCCTGAGACCTGTCCCCATCTTCCTTCCTTCTCCCACCCCCCTCCCTGAGACCTGTCCCCATCTTCCTCCCTTCTCTCCCCCCTCCCTGAGACCTGTCCCCATCTTCCTCCCTTCTCTGCCCCTCCCTGAGACCTGTCCCATCTTCCTCCCTTCTCTGCCCCTCCCTGAGACCTGTCCCCATCTTCCTCCCTTCTCTGCCCCTCCCTGAGACCTGTCCCCATCTTCCTCCCTTCTCTGCCCCTCCCTGAGACCTGTCCCCATCTTCCTCCCTTCTCTCCCCCCCCCCTCTCTGAGACCTGTCCCCATCTTCCTCTCTTCTTCCCCTCCCTGAGACCTGTCCCCATCTTCCTCCCTTCTCTGCCCTCTCCCTGAGACCTGTCCCTATCTTCCTCCCTTCTCCCCCTCCCTGAGACCTGTCCCCATCTTCCTTCCTTCTCCCCTTCCCCCTCCCTGAGACCTGTCCCCATCTTCCTCCCTTCTCTCCCCCTCCCTGAGACCTGTCCCCATCTTCCTCCCTTCTCTGCCCCTCCCTGAGACCTGTCCCCATCTTCCTCCCTTCTCTCCCCCTCCCTGAGACCTGTCCCCATCTTCCTCCCTTCTTCCTCCTCCCTGACACCTGTCCCCATCTTCCTTCCTTCTCCCCCCCCCCCTCCCTGAGACCTGTCCCCATCTTCCTCCCTTCTCTCCCCCTCCCTGAGACCTGTCTCCATCTTCCTCCCTTCTCTCCCCATCCCTGAGACCTGTCCCCATCTTCCTCCCTTCTCTGCCCCTCCCTGAGACCTGTCTCCATCTTCCTCCCTTCTCTCCCCCTCCCTGAGACCTGTCCCCATCTTCCTCCCTTCTTCCCCTCCCTGAGATCTGTCCCCATCTTCCTTCCTAATCCCCACCCCACTCCCTGAGACCTGTCCCCATCTTCCTTCCTTCCTCCCCCCCCCCTCCCTGAGACCTGTCCCTGTCTTCCTCCCTTCTCTCCCCGTCCCTGAGACCTGTCCCCATCTTCCTCCCTTCTCTTCCCCTCCCTGAGACCTGTACCCATCTTCCTCCCTTCTCTGCCCCCTCCCTGAGACCTGTCCCCATCTTCCTCCCTTCTCTCCGCCTCCCTGAGACCTGTCCCCATCTTCCTCCCTTCTCTCCCCCTCCCTGAGACCTGTCCCCATCTTCCTCTCTTCTCTCCCCCTCCCTGAGACCTGTCCCCATCTTCCTCCCTTCTTCCCCTCCTTGAGACCTGTCCTCATCTTCCTCCCTTCTCCCCCCCCTCCCTGAGACCTGTCCCCATCTTCCTCCCTTCTCCCCCTCCCTGAGACCTGTCCCCATCTTCCTCCCTTCTCCCCCCCCCCCTCCCTGAGACCACATATCCCCATCTTCCTCCCTTCTACTCTCCCTCCCCCTCCCTGAGACCTGTCCCCATCTTCCTCCCTTCTCCCCCCCTCCCTGAGACCTGTCCCCATCTTCCCCCTTCTCTCCCCCTCCCTGAGACCTGTCCCCCCATCTTCCTCTCTTCTCTCCCCCTCCCTGAGACCTGTCCCCCATCTTCCTCCCTTCTCTCCCCCTCCCTGAGACCTGTCCCCATCTTCCTTCCTTCTTTCCCCCCCCCCCCCCCTCCCTGAGAACTGTCCACATCTTCCTTCCTTCATTCCCCCCTCCCTCCCTGAGAACTGTCCCCATCTTCCTCCCTTCTCTCCCCCTCCCTGAGACCTGTCCCCATCTTCCTCCCTTCTCTCCTACTCCCTGTACTAGAAGGTTTCACAAACTTGCAGAGTTGATTTCATTTCCAGGGACACCTGAAGTACTATTGGGTTGGCTGACCAACAACTAGTTTGATAAACTGATAGATTTTTTTTAACTCACACGTTTGTCATGCTTCTGTTTAACCCCTCCTGCCCAGAATCCCTTTAGGAGCTCCTTCACACTAGCTTTGGTCTCTGAAGAGCGATCTGTGTCCAGATGGTGAAAGGGGCACTCTGCTGGGCTCTGATGTAAGGGGCACTACTCTGCTGTAAGGTGGGACTCTGCGGACTCTGATGTAAGGTGGGACTCTGCGGACTCTGATGTAAGGTGGGACTCTGCGGACTCTGATGTAAGGTGGGGCTTTGAAGACACAGATTTAAGGGGGACTCTGATGTGTAGGGGGAATACTGTTGACTTTGATATAAGGGAGAACTCTGATGTGAACATGGTGGTCATCCTCACTGCTACATTCTATAAATTTTTCTTTTTTTACTTACTCCTGACCCATGTACTTTATACAGTATGCTGTACATAGACCAGATCAAGGTGTTTCTTGTCTCAACTGTTGTTGGTTTTAATGAAGTTCTTCTTTAAAGTGTAAGTTCACACCTTTATAGAAAATCTGTAAGACGACCTATCACTGGACCCCTATCCATCCCCCTCCACCGATCCCGCTGTACTTAGCTCCCACAATCCTGCACTGTCAGGCTTTTGCATACGGCTCCACTAATCGGGATTTGAAATCCCTGTGGCCTTCTCTCCTCTCCTTGCAGTGCTGACAGGAAGTGCCATTCATGTGACAGTGCTGACCAATTAGAATCCGTCTGATCCATATTGGCTGCAAAGTACAGAGAGGAGATTAAGCCACATGGCATGTGGGAACCTGACAGCGCAGGATCATGCCAGATAAGTACAGCGGGGCTGGAGGGGTATAGGAATTGTGAAGTATTATGTCACCTTACAGATTTTTTATAAATGTGAACTTACACTTTAAGGTAGACTCAGTAAGGCAGCCCATACATCAGTCATTTTTTTTGTTCAACCAGCGAGTTGAACAAAAAAAAAAAAAATTAAATTCCCACATGCACACATTTGACACCACCCTGCTAACCAACTGTACTCTGCCCTACTGATTTCTGTTTTTGTACACTGTCCTACTGACCTCCCATACCCTGCCCCCCGACCTTTTTTACTGCATCCCCACATCAGACTAGCTAAATCCGGCCCCGGTTTTATCTATGGAATAGAGAGTGAAGGAAAATCTCCTCTATGGATCATAGATGGCAACAAGAAGCCTAAAAGGGATCTCCCTTACTCTATCCAAAATGAAAAAAAAAATATGCCACTAGTTGCATTTTAATATTATCATTGCCTATTTCCCAGGGGCGGACTGACCATTTGGAAACTCGGGCACTGCCCGAGGGCCCGGGGTCAGTAGGGGTCACCATGAAATGCCCCTGGTACCTTTTTCATAGGCTTTTTTGAGTTTGGGCAAGGACACAGGGGCCCCATGATCCCCTATTGTCCGGGGGCCCCATGAGTTGTCAGTCCGCCCCTGCTATTTCCTAAGGCTCACCCTTGTGTACAAAGGAAGCTCATACCTTGCTAATATGAAACGTGGACTCTTTGGTTTCAGGTTCATTGAATTTATACAACCAGCATCCTTTTAAACTTGCAGCTCCAAGCAAAACCATATTGGTATTCTCATTAAGTGAACCCTCATCCAATACCATCTCCATGCTACCTGCAAAATGAAACATACAGAGATTGCTATTATGTAGTTGAATGATGATTTTGTGTGTATTGCAGAAAATCATACATTTCAGCCTTAGTTGCCTTGAATTTGGCTCTCCTTTTCTTGTCTGGTTAAGAGACAAAAGCAGATATAGCAACAAACAACCTATTTTCTTAGTCCCCAGACTTTAAAGAGTTAGCTATAATAAGCAAGCGTCCACTATTTGTTTGCCAGAACAGCATGATATTGATGTTATTGCACTTTTTTGCACAACACTGCACTACTGTAATAATATAGCCAAACATAAAGTGCATCACCATGAAAATTTTCAAGGTATATGGCATACAGTGGATATAAAAAGTCTACACACCCCTGTTAAAATGTCAGGTTTCTGTGATGTACAAAAATGAGACAGATAAATCATTTCAGAACTTTTTCCACCTTTAATGTAACCTATAAACTGTACAACTCAGTTGAACAACAAACTGAAATTGTTTAGGTGGAGGGAAGTAAAAATAAAAAAACTAAAATAATATGGTTGCATAAGTGTGCACACCCTTAAACTAATACTTTGTTGAAGCACCTTTTGATTTTATTACAGCACTCAGTCTTTTGGGGTATGAGTCTATCAGCATGGCACATCTTGGCTTGGCAATATTTGCCTACTCTTCCTTGCAAAAACACTCCAAATCTGTCAGATTACAAGGGCATCTCCCGTACAGATCCCTCTTCAGATCACCCCAAAGATTTGAGATCGACTTCAGGTCTGAGCTCTGGCTGGGCCATTCCAAAACTTTCATCTTCTTCTGGTGAAGCCATTCCTTTGCAGATTTGGATGTATGCTTTGGGTCGTTGTCATGCTGAAAGTTCCTCCTTATGCTCATCTTTCTAGCAGAAGCCTGAAGATTTTGTGTTAATATTGACTGGTATTTGGAACTGTTCATAATTCCCTCTACCTTGACTAAGGCCCCAGTTCCAGCTGAAGAAAAACAGCCCCTAAGCATGATGCTGCCACCACCATGCTTCACTGTTGGTATGATGTTATTTTGGTGATGTGCAGTGTTGTTTTTGCGCCAAATATATCTTTTGGAATGATGGCCAAAAACCTCAACCTTGGTTTCATCAGACCAAAACACATTTTCCCACATGGTTTTGGATATTTTTCTTCGTAAGAAAAGGCTTCCGTCTTGCCACTCTACCCCATAGTCCAGACATATGAAGAATACGGGAGATTGTCACATGTACCACACAGCCAGTACTTGCCAGATAATCCTGCAGCTCCTTTAATGTTGCTGTAGGCCTCTTGGCAGCCTCCCAGACCAGTTTTCTTCTCATTTTTTCATCAATTTTGGAGAGACGTCCAGTTCTTGGTAATGTCACTGTTGCGCCATATTTTCTCCATTTGATGACGACTGTCTTCACTGTGTTCCATGGTATATCCAATACCTTGGAAATTCTTTTGTACCCTTCTCCTGACTGATCCCTTTTAACAATGAGATCCCTCTGATACTTTGGAAGCTGTCTGCAGGTCATGGATTTTGATCTAGGATGCGACTAAGAAAATGTCAGGAAAGACCTACTAGGACAGCTGAAATTTGAGGTTAATCGGAGGCACTTTAAATGATGGCAGGTGTGTACTGACTCCTATTTAACATGATTTTGAATGTGATTGCTTAATTCTGAACACAGCTACATACCCAGCTATAAGAGGGTGTGCAAACTTATGCAACCACATTATTTAAGTTTTTTTATGTTTACGTCCCCCCCCTAGAAGATTTCAGTTTATTTTTCAATTGAGTTGTACAGTCTATAGGTCACAGTAAAGGTGGAAAAAGTTCTGAAATTATTTATCTGTCTTGTTTTTTTACATCACAGAAACCTGACATTTTAACAGGGGTTTGTAGGCTTTTTATATCCACTGTATATCATGATTTTATCTGCCAAAGGATTTGTATCTCTGTACAGTTATTTGTTCTCCTTTTATACACATCTGTCAAACTGTATAGTCCGACATCCTTCCATACTATACCAAAGATGACCATACACTACCAGTGTGCTAAATGAAAAAAAAAATAAAAGATTCTTCTATCCACACAAATGAGGTGGATGGAAGAATACTCTCTGCCAAGATATTGTATACTGACAGTGGCACCTGCTGCTGTCAGAAACTATTGATCATTGGCTGCAGTTGATTGGCTGCAGCTATTGATCCAGGAAAATGTTCCAACATGCACTTCCAACATAAGTCAATCAAATGACTGTCAAGCAAGGACTGCTACATGCTGATCAAAATGCAGATGGTCCCTGCTAAACCATTAAAATTTTGATCTGTGTATAGACAGCTTAAAAAACGTGCTTTGGTGCTGCCTGTGTCCCTGCTGTCCCTAAAGCCAGCCATAGATGGATTAAATCCCTGTTGAACAAGCCGAGAGTCCATGTATGGTTATGCTGGTTGTACTGAAGTCGATCCATTGATCGACTTCAGTACAACCAGCATGTCGGATTATTTGCATTATTTGCTGGTGACAATAGCTGCTAGCAGTGATCATTGTATTCTGCCAACAGGGAAGGCACAATAAAACCGTGGGAGTGATTCTTTCATCAATACTGACTGTGTTGATGGGGAATTGAGCAATTTTCTTTCCTGCAACCGTGGTTGCATATACACTATATTGCCAAAAGTATTGGAACACCCCTCCAAATCACTGGATTCAGGTGTTCCAATCACCTCCATGGCCACAGGTGTATTAAATCAAGCACCTAGACATGCAGACTGCTTCTTCAAACATTTGTGATAGAATGGGTCGCTCTCAGGAACTCAGTGAATTCAAGCGTGGTACCGTGATAGGTTGCCACCTGTACAATAAGTCCATCTGTGAAATTTCCTTGCAACTAAATATTCCGCAGTCAACTGCTAGTGGTATTATAACAAAGTGGAAGCAACTGGGAACAACAGCAATTTAACCACAAAGTAGTAGGCCATGTAAAATGACAGAGCAGGATCAGCGCATGCTGTCTGCAGAGTCAATAGCTAAAGACCTCCAAACTTTGTTTGGCCTTCAGATTAGCACAACAGGGCATAGAGAGCTTCATAGAATGGGTTTCCATGGTCGAGCAGCTGCATCCAAGCCTTACATCACCAAGTGCAATGCAAAGCCGTGGATGCAGTGGTGTGCACTGGAATCTAGAGAAGTTGAGACGTGTTCTCTGGAGTGGCAAATCATGCTGTTTGGCGGTTGCCAGAAAAACGGTACTTGCCTGACTGCATTGTGCCAAGTGTAAAGTTTGGTGGAGGGGGGATTATGGTGTGGGGTGGTTTTTCAGGGTTGGGCTTGGCCCCTTAGTTCCAGTGAGGGGAACTTTTAAGGCGTTAGCATACCATGACATTTTGGACAATTTCTTGCTCCCAACTTTGTGGGAACAATTTGGGGATGGCCCCTTACCGGTTCCAACATGACTGCACACCAGTGCACAAAGCAAGGTCCATAAAGACATGGATGAGCAAGTCTGGGGTGGAGGAACTTGACTGACCTGCACAGAGTTCTAACCTCAACCTGATAGAACACCTTTGGGATGAATTAGAGCAGAGACTGTGAGCCAGGCCTTCTAATCCAACATCAGTGCCTGACCTCACAAATGTACTTATGGAAGAATGGTCAAACATTCTCATAGACACACTCCTAAACCTTGTGGACAGCATTCCTAGAAGAGTTGAAGTTGTTATAGCTGCAAAGGGTGGGCCAACTCAATATTGAACCCTACGGACCCTTACTGCTGAGGCTGTCAAAAATGAGTTGCTGAGAGTGCTGTGTAAATAAGGCAATTAATGCAGCTGTTGCTGTCCTTCTAACACATTAGGGTTGATTTACTACAAGGCTAGGTTCACACTAGCCGCCACACTGCGGGCTGGTTGTGGTTGCGGAAATCATTGTGATTCTCGCACCCGCAAACACCAGCAGCTACATCGTGCTTCTCTTGCCAGATGCAAGAATGAATGAATGGCACCCTCACACATCTCAACCCATAGCACAATCGAGGCATGATCTCGGGTGTGGGAACCGCATGGACACTGCATGATCAAAAACACAGTTTTATGCGATTTCTGTGCAGATGCGTTTCAGAAAAGGTGCATGCACCTTGTGTGAAATGCGGTCAAATAAATGGGCCTGCACTAGTGTGAACCAGGCCTGAATGAATGACAGCCCATGCATCTCTAGAGAGCAGCACGTTTTGACTGTAGGTGCTTGCGGGTGCAGGAATATCTGCGTTTCCTGCACCTACAATCCTGCACAGTGTGAACCTAGCATAACTCAACCCCAGAGTTTATAAACACAGGTCACACAAGGGCTAGTAACAATGTTCCTTTTGTATTGACTCTGTTTCATTCAAAGGGATGGGCTTCAATATGCATATGATATCAGTTAAAGCAACCTAACAAGTTAAAAACATTTTTCTTTTTTATTTAAAATGTGTTCCAATGTAACCAATTATTAACCCTTACTCTAATGAACTCTAATGTTATCATGTCTAATTAACTCTCATTTTTTTCTTTCCACCCCTTAACTAGTATATTCCTAATTTTTTTTATTTCTGTTTTTATAACTTTTTTAATTTTTATTTCATTTTGTTTTTTATTAAAAAAAAAAAACACAAGTGTGAAAAAAGACTTTAATTCATTTGTAAATAACTGTGATTCTTTGTACCAGAATCATAATTTAAGTGCCAATTTAAACTAAAAATGAAAAGAAATGAGTTTTCTTAGTTTTGATTTTTTTTCTTGGTTAAAGTGGTTCTAAAGGTTATAGTTTTTGTTTAAAATAAAAAAAGAGGTTACTTACCTACTCTGCAATAATATTGCACAAAAAGGACTTTTACTTTCCCTTCTGGCAGTCCCCCGCCTGCACTGTCTGTGCTTCCCTTCCATCAGATACCTATTATGCGTGCGAGCTTCTGAAGTGGGCTAGGTGCATCGATAGACAGATACAGCCCTAGTAAGCTCCCTCCTCCCACAGGAATTTGACTGACAGCAATAATTGGATTGTAAATTAGCCAGTTAGCTCATGCCTCAGAGGGAAGAGTTGGGGTTATTGTCCTTACCAGGTCTTTTACTTGGCAGATTTTCTTGGGTTCGACCCACTAGTCCTGTGTGTATAAAAGAGGCAGTTGTCTGGAGCTGAGAGCCAGGGGCTTGAAGAGAGAAAGGCCCTAAGCTTTGGTCCTGGAGTACCACAGCTCTAACACTGTTCAGAAGACTGTAATGATGTAGGAGATCACTGGAACCTGGGGTTTGCCCCAAAGACACCATTCACTGGGGAATGCCGCTAATGGACCTGATTACGCATGGACTCTACCTTTGCAAGGTATGCCAAGGCAGCACTTAAGCCTGAGTTTGAATTAGGGACTTAGGAAAAAGGCTGTTCTTATCTGTGGGACTCTGTAATATTTTGTCATTTCATCAGTAAAGTGTTGGAACGTTGTCTTCTGCCTGGTCTGAAGTCACTTACAGGAGTATAATGAAAGTAACCGGCACATTGCTACAGTTTGTGGTCATTAACATATTGGGGTATGAAGAGTTAGCACTAAAAAGAGTAATCATTGTGCAGTACTACATGTGGTTGCCATGGGCAATGGAAATCTATAGTCAGTCATAATGCAACCTGTCAGTAGAGTATACCTGTTATAGGTGGACTAATGTCTAGCCACGAGGGAGATGTTTTCGACACGCCTTCTGGCACAATCTGTCTCCTATTGTAACGGAAGTGGACTTGCGCTGCAAGGGTCCCCATCCTGTACACAGGTACAGAAGCTCAAGAGTCAAGTCAAGTGCATGTGTGGATCCCGTGCTAGGTGCTCACTTTGCTACTGAGAACAATAGTGGAAAATACTGGGCAGGTGGTTGTGGACAAAGCTCAGCATGTTCCTTCTAATTGCAAGTTACAGTGGAAAGATATACAGTTACATTGGGACCCAATAGTTGACTGGAGGACAGTTATGGTGCAAGTGTACATACAGTATGTTCTTTACTAAGAGTAGAGGCCTGCCTTAAGATCATGTATTCCCCCACAGCTGCCTCAGCCTTGTCTTGGGGCATAGATGAAAACAGCACTATAGAAAAGGTACCCCATATGTGTCAAGTGATCCTGTTGCAGGTGCCTAGCATAGCCCAGAAGAACTCACCCAAGGGGTAGTCCTCGCATGTGACCCACACTTGGCTCCCAATGAGTTAATGGGGAACATGTAGGAAGGTCCATCATCAGCTTGCCCCAGCTCTACTGACATGCTGCCTTCAGTGTCTCCTGTGACAGCAGGAAGTGCTAGAGCCAACAGTGCTGGAACCGTGACATGGAGCCAAATAAGTGCTTAGGGATGGGGATGGGTAGTACAGGTAATGGGGTGTTTTTTTACCTTAATGCAGAGAATGCATTAAGGTAAAAACCTTTGGACTTAAGAATCACTTTAATTATTGCGCCACAAAGAGATAGTGGCTACAGAAAAATAAAAACATGCCATGCTGCGTAAGTGAAATAAACACTGCTTAGTCTTCTACTATTACTAATCCTATGATATGCAGGAAATGGGAGTTTGAATGATGGGAATATATTGGCTAGCAGGGGATTTAAGGCCATATTTAGGGTTGTGGAAATTCATATAGCTAAGGAACCTAATGAAAGGGATGTGATGGAAGTCCCACTGAAGAGCAAGTATAGCTACAGACCATGGTGAGCAAACAGAAGAATGTCATGTTGCCAGGTGATGAAAAAAGGCTTTCACTGGGGTGTGGGGACCAGGACTGCCTAGCCTTTGTCATAATTGGAAGTATTGCTTGACAGACAGTCAATGACACATTACAAACACAAGAGCAGATAGAGATGTAACAAGGAGCAACAGGAACAGAGACCAAAGCCAATGTAGACAGACAAACTGGATTACAATCAGAAGGCAGTAAAGACAGACAAACAGGATTAGAAGTGGAAGCCAGTACAGACAGACAAGGGTTCCATGCATAAGCCAAAACCCGCAGACCAACGGGATCACAAACATAAACGAATACAGACAAACAAACAGAACTACAATAAAAACCCAATGCAGATGGACGAACAGGATCAAAAACCAAAGCCACTGCAGCTAAACAAAACTGGATCAGAAGCAGCTGCCAGTGCACCCAGACAAACTGGATCAAACGCTTGAAACTAGCATTTGTAAGTTCAGCTACTCACCATCAGTGAGGTCTTTTACTGATGTGTTTATCTGGTTTCGAGCCTCATCTACTCGACTTTTAATGTCAATTGGTTCCAATTCTGATGGATAGTGCTTCTTGGTTGAATTTATGAACTCCTACAAATAATTTTAAATGAGAATACCAGCATTATACTATTTTTAAGTTCTGGATTTAAAAACTCTATAGGAATGAATTAATACATAGCATAGCAGGGATTTGTAGCATCTAAGACAATTACACTATCCCAACACATAGAAATAAATAGTTTTGCCTAGTTGATTGAAGTGTTTGTACATCTAATGTTTCCTTTCACCTAATAATCCTCTGCTCCAGCTAGATCTTATGCTGAGCTAGACTCTGGGAGCTAAGATTGGTCATATTTCCTTCTCTTATAAATCACAGCACAAAAAAAATTAGGGAATTTCTTCCATCATTTTTTGAACACCTGTTCAGATGACAACTGTGTAATATGAGAATTCCCCTTCCATTGTACATATTTCTCCAACTTTCTGTTGTGTCTCTGAAACAGGAGGCAAAGGGAAATCTCTCCAATGGGATATGAATCGCAGAAAAAGCTTTACTTCTTCCCTGCTCTAACCAAAACAAAACGTTTTTTTCTATACATACACTTTAAAGTATAACTAAACCCAAACCATTTAACAAATATATTGTTCTTTAGGTTTCTTCAATGCCAAAAAGTTTTTTTTTTCTTTATGTCTTGCTTTTAATTAAATGATACCAGCATAGTGTATCTACAAGCATTTCCTTTCCTAGGGTCACTAAAATTTCTCAAGGTTGTCCCCCTTTACTGCAGACTCCTTGTTAGGCTGCAAGCAGCTGTGCGAACACATTGTGCACTAGCACATTTTGCCATAGTCACCACAGTAAAAGTGGGATGTTCAACCATTGCTGAACTGCATCCATCTGCAGGACGTTCCTACAAAGAGTATGCAGATTGTGTACAGTGCAGGAAGGAGAATTTGGGAAAGGGGAAAACCAAAACTGTAATGATCCCAGAGTGCCGTGGGGTAATGTATGTTGTCATAATGCACAGAAAAACATGTTTTTACACTTTTTATTGCAATAAATGTGAAGTTTACCACAACACATCAGTGTAGGGCTTCGTCTTTCACTGAATAATAAAGTTTTTTTAATTATTCTTTTTACAAATAGTAGTCTAACGTGTTAAATGTATCACAAAAGCTATAGAGAAAAATTCACTTTGTGTAACAGAATATAACATAATTTCAATGCAAGCCTTTTTTAGTAATTGATTATTAAAAATTACCTTTGCAGTTTAATATTATAATTTTCTTAATCTGTAAGTCACTTTCGTGGAAAAGTGCAACCTGGAAGCTTTCTTGTCTTCAACCAAGAGTTGCACAACGTTCTGCTAAAATTTAATCATTTTCCTAATTAAAATGGATGTGAAAATGGATGAACCTTGAGTGAAAGTTGTATGAACCTTGGGTGAAAAGAATGATAAATAGACCCTTTAGTTTTTAGAATGCCCCCAAGAATCCCACTTGTTTGATTGGCATGAACTACCTTTCCTCCTCCTTGCAATGTACAGTATATCATTCACCTGAAAAGGGATGTCTTTTTTACACCAAATCTGGAGTAAAATTTTAAGACCCAAGCAGTGGCTGTACTGCATGATTATTTTTACTTGTTGTAGGTCCCTGAAACCCCTTTAAGGCCTTTGTCCAAGGGCTTTGGGTGTGTGATGATGGAATAATTTTTACACTTTGGTTTCAGAAGCTTCTGAGATTATTTAGAATTTATTGACAAGTGCAGTTGACATTCTTCTGTCCTCCATTTGCTTCAAGTGGGTTTTGCTTTCCCATAGAATTGTAAGAAAATGCAACAAAACCTAGTCAACGCAATCCCTTACAAAGTCACATATATCGCTCTTTAGAAAACCAATGCAGTTGTCCTGAAACTAGGTCTAGTCTATAAACCTGAGAAAACTTTCAATGTGTACAAAAAGCACAGACAGATGCTTACCTTAGTGCATTTGTGACTACTGTCGACGTAAAGCCTTTTTACAATTTTAAGGGGGGAACACATTTTGGAAATGTCTGACGTCAGTGATTGAAATCCGAAATCATAAGCATTGACCTTTTCAAAGTGAAGAGCCTAGAATAAAAGAAGATATTGAATTACATTGTTACAAACTGGACCAATGTAACTACAGTATGTAAAAATATACCATGCCTAGAATTCATTGTTAAAGCGGAGCTCCACCCAAAAGGTGAAGCTCCACTTTAAGGACTGCTCCTCCGCTCCCCATTAAGGATTGGCACCTTTGGGGGATGGGGGGGAGCCGGTACCCGAATTTGACAGGTACCCGCTTCCACTTCCAGTCCGATCGCCTAGGCAACCGGAAGCGGAAGGCGTCCTCCCTCCCTTCATTGTAGTCTTTTGGGACACGTGACAGATCCCAGAAGACTACAGGACCATTCATGAAGCGAAGCGCTACTCGCGCATGCGCAGTGGGTACCCGGCTGTGAAGCCGCAAGCTGTCACAGCTGGGTGCCAACACTGAAGATGCCGGCCTCCTGGAATACAGGACAGCGGGGGACCAAACTGACAGGTAAGTGGCTGTTTTTTAAAAGTCAGCAGCTACAGTTTTTGTAGCTGCTGACTTTTATTTTTTGACAGGGTGAGTAGAACTCCGCTTTAAGCTTAAAGTATATCTAAAAACAAGAAATGTGTTTAGTTTTGAGCAGGGGCGGACTGACCATTTGGAAACTCGGGCACTGCCCAAGGGCCCCGGGTCAGTAGGGGGCCCCATGAGATGCCTCTGGTACCTTTTTCATAGGCTTTTTTGAGTTTGGGCATGGACACAGGGGCCCCATGATCCCCTATTGCCCGGGGGCCCCATGAGTTGTCAGTCCGCCCCTGGTTTTGAGTACAGCTTGGAAGTGTAAAACCTCTGTCTTTTTTTGCATCCCTTTTCGGGAGACTAACCGTCTTAAGTTGTCCTGGTGACCAACCATGTTCCCTTGAACAGAAAATAATGGCAAATCTAATATTTTACAGTTTATCAAAACAACAATTGAGAGGACAGCTCTACAGAGATACTACCAATTCAGGACAGAGATAGTGCATAGATGTCTTTGTCAAAGCCAGCACCATGTCATGGATGGATGTGGATGGATGTTCCAGCATGACAATGACCCAAAACACACGGTCAAGGCAATAAAGGAGTGGCTCAAGAACAGGAGCGGACTGACCATTTGGAAACTCAGGCACTGCCCGAGGGCTCGGGGTCAGTAGGGAGCCCCATGAGATGCCCCTGGTACCTTTTTCATAGGCTTTTTTGAGTTTGGGCAAGGACACAGGGGCCCCATGATCCCCTTTTGCCCAGGGGCCCCATGAGTTGTCAGTCCGCCCCTGCTCAAGAAAAAGCACATTAAGGTCCTGGAGTGGCCTAGCCAGTCTCCAGACCTTGATCCCATTGAAAATCTGTGGAGGGAGCTGAAACTTCGAGTTGCCAAACGTCAGCCACCAAACCTTAATGACTTGGAGAGGATCTGCCAAGAGGAGTGGCCAAAATCCCTCCTGAGATGTGTGCAAACCTGGTGGCAAACTACAGGAACCGTCTGACCTCTGTGATTGCCAACAAGGGATTTACCACCAAGTACTAAGTCATGTTTTGTGAAGAGGATCAAATACTTATTTCCCTCATGAACATGCAAATCAGTGCATCATTTGTTAGACATGCATTGCTTTTGAATTTTTTGTTGCTATTCTGTCTCTCTGTGTTACAATACACCTACCATTCGCTTTTTAGACTGATCATTTCTTTGTGAGTGGGCAAACATTCAAAATCAGCAGGGGATCAAATACTTATATCCTTCACTGTATACAGGTCCTGATGGCAATGTATTGTAGTTGCCAATTATACTGTAAGTGCCGGTTCACATATATGCGGATTGGATGGGGTTTGAACCGCATCAAATGACATGTAAAATAACATTGCTTCTCATGGTGCCTGTTCATATATGTCCGGTGCACTGGCGGTGTGGATTCAGTATGGTTTAAAAAAGAGTCCTGTATGATTTCCGAGCAGTGCCTTTATGTTCAGGTGCGGATTACAGGTCATTGACTTCTATGGGAACCATTTCTAAACCGCCCATGTGTGAGCAGGAGAAAATTCTGACTTAATCCTGTGCTGAATCTGATGTAAACTTGACATGAACCGCTGAACAACTACTGCGTCAATCAGCTGTGAAACCTGAGCTTCACTCTGCACCGTACATGTGCAAATTAGCTCTATATAAACAGGAAGGCATAAAAAAACATAAACATAAAACTTTCACCTACCTTTTCTATTTCAGCTGCTGTGTCACCCTTAGCTCCTTTAAAAGCTAGAGCCAAAGTATTAGAAACACAAATCGGCGAAAAGATGAAATTATCTGTCTTGCTTTTTTCACAGAACATTTTTAGAATGTCAATGGCCAAAGATGTGTTTGCCAAACGGAAAGCATCCATTATCTATAACATAAAACAGCACATGAAATGGAGTGGTATACATATACAGAATATATATAGATAGATAGATAGATAGATAGATAGAGATAGATAGATAGATAGATAGATAGATAGAATTTGTTTTTGTTTTTTATGGGGTTTTTTTTTATCATTTTTATTTATTTATTTATTTTAAATGGTTATACAAAATGTGTTAAAAAAACTTAGAATATACTGGATGTAGCCGGAAACAATAAGCACAAAACAAAAAACTGCGATGTATACAAACAATACATTTGAATGTCAGACTGTATACACACTTGTTCACTTTGCAAACTCTCATACTGATCTCCTGACTCCGGGGTCGCTTCGTGAGCAGCAAGCACAACTAGTTTGCCTTCAGTCTGTATTTGCTAAGCTATTTATTTAGCAAGTATGTCATCATGTTGACCCAGTGTCTGCAATCTTATTTCAAAGACTCTGTAGTGCCCTGCCCTAGTTAAGTTAAATTTAGTTTGAATCTGCTGTACTCAGTGGAGTAGTCAGTGCCAGGACAAGGTCATCCAGTTCTCAGGACTAACATGCCAAGATGCGCATGTAAGGTGTATGTAGTATACAATGTGCAGGAGTCAAGAGTAGGTACACTACAGAGTGCAGAAACCAGTTTATACACTCTAGTGCACAGCAATACCCCCTATGTGACATTCACACCTACATATAAACACACATACAAACACTCACACATATACTGTACATAAAACCACCCATTGCAGTGGTCTCCCCCCATACTGCATGGGTTAAATGCTCATTTGGTCTAGGAGCAGAGGATTAAGGTATAAATACTGTACTTAAAAGCTAGATTCACCTTTAATTAAAAAAAATAAATGCACATATTTTTGAAGGTAATAAAATGTGCATTTATTATTGTTTAACCCCTTGGCGCCAACGCCTCCCGGCCCTTTAAGGGTTTCAGAAGTCGGGAGGCGGGGCAGGGTTTAGGGTCATGTGACCGCCTTCACGGCGGTCACATGCTTGGGAAAGGTCCCGATCGAATGAGGAGATCGGGACTGTTCCGTGAGTACTGGACATGTGTGCTGGAGCACGCAGGGCGCGTGCTCTCAGCACATATGTTTTTTTTAATAGAACGCAAATGTGCGGCCACTCAGTGTCTAGGCCTAGACGCCGGGAGGCCACACATTTGCGTTCAGCCGGCACCAAGAGGTTAAAAACAGAGCCTTAAAAGTGTTGCACCTGTGATCAGCAGATTGCGGGTGCAATGTTAGGCTGCTGCACACATTGCCTGCAGCTCCCAGCATGCCCACCCGTTAAGTTCCTATTGACTTCCCTTCCTGATTTGCTCAGACCGGAGTCAAGGAAGAAGGGTGTCAAAGAGAAGGATTATGGGGTATATAGTTCCATCAGCTCCATGTAGGACTGCGCTCTGTTGGGAAAAGATTACAGCTCCCAACAGGGGCGGACTGAAAATTCATGGGGCCCCCAGGCAATACGGGATCATGGGGCCCCTGTGTCCTTGCCCAAACTCAAAAAAGCCTATGAAAAAGGTACCAGGAGCATCTCATGGGGCCCCCTACTGACCCTGGGCCCTCGGGCAGTGCCAGAGTTTCCAAATGATCAGTCCGCCCCTGGCTCCCAAGGACCTTTGCAACTGTAGGAGAGAGGGGAACGTTTTACAAAGCTGCCCAGAAAAGCTAGGGGCACTTGGTACCAAACAGTGAAGATAGACAGAAGAGGAGACAGAGTGTGAAGTCTCCAGTACCTGTATACCTGCACAACTAGTTTCTCAGTGACAACAAGACACGGTGTGGTATTGCCACCCCTGCTTCCAATGTATCAGGGACACAGAGCAGAGCCATCACTTCACCTTCATCTGTTCCAGAGGTGCAGAGTGGAATTACCAGTCTCTCCCTGTGGTCCAAAGACACGGAACCGTGTGTAGGGCGGCATTCGATGTGCACAAGATCCAAGAAAGGATCCAGAGGTCATTGCAGGAGTTGGTGGGAGGGCCTGTTAAGTGATTTTTTACTCTGAGTAGCAGACATGGACATTCCAGTTCACCACTGTTTAACTATCACTACCTGGTAGCATAGCCTGATATGGCGAGGAAGGCCTTTCTTACACCTCTGACTCGGATTCCCTGGTAGTGTGAACAGAAGGCGCAGGAGTGCAGAGTTGAATGAGTGCCTATAGGTTTTTCAAGCAGCAGAGCAGGTAACCACGCAGCAGAATTGTACTGGGCAGTCGACTGAAGCAGACTGGTACTGGTGACAGTGGGCAGGCAAGCCATGCACTGGTAGCAGACAGTAGATCAGCAGGCACATCAGGATGGTAGGTAGGTAGGTACCGGTGAGCACAGAAGGAATAACAGAGTCAGGCAGGACAGGTCATAGACTGGCATGGCAGATCAGGAACAGAGGCAAGCGTGGTCAGAGTACAAGCCAGGTCAGGAGCAAATCAGTGGAGCAGCAGCAAATGGAGCAGGCAGATGTGGTGGTAAGAGGACAAGCTGAGGTCAGTACAGGCAGAGCTCAGAGAGTGGTCAGCACCAGCTTGGTCAGCAACTGGAGTCAGGATACAGGATCACAGGGTTCAGGATGCACAGAAGGCTGAAGACAAAGCAGCATTGAATCTGAGCACTGCAATAGTTTAAATAGCCCATTTGGTGCCATCATCTGTCACGAGTGTGCAGAGAACGCCGATGCACACGTGTATTCACATGAGCATGTCCCCAATTCCTACATCCACAAGAAGGAATATGAATTAGCCTGTGATGATGCATGTTGTGTAAAGGAAAAAGACTGCTGAGCTAGAGAAAGCTTTTGAAAAAAGCTGCTAGCACCATATATACAGGTGGAACTCGAAAAATTAGAATATCATGCAAAATTTAATTTATTTCAGTAATGCAACTTAAAAGGTGAAACTAATATATGAGATAGACTCATTACATGCAAAGCAAGATAGTTCAAGCCGTGATTTGTCATCATTGTGATGATTATGGCTTACAGCTCATGAAAACCCCAAATCCACAATCTCAGAAAATTAGAATATTACATGCAATCAATAAAACAAGGATTGTACATAGAACAATATCGGACCTCTGAAAAGTATAAGCATGCATATGTACTCAGTCCTTGGTTTGGGCCTCTTTTGCAGCAATTACTGCCTCAATGCAGCGTGGTATGGAAGCTATCAGCCTGTGGCACTGCTGAGGTGTTATGGAAGACCAGGATGCTTCAATAGCGGCCTTCAGCTCTTCTGCATTGTTCGGTCTCATGTCTCTCATATTTCTCTTGGCAATGCCCCATAGATTCTCTATGGGGTTCAGGTCAGGCGAGTTTGCTGGCCAATCAAGCACCGTAATCCCACGATCATTGAACCAGGTTTTGGTGCTTTTGGCAGTGTGGCCAGGTGCCAAGTCCTGCTTGAAAATAAAGTCAGCATCCCCATAAAGCTCGTCTCCGGAAGGAAGCATGAAGTGCTCCAAAATCTCCTGGTAGACGGCTGCGTTGACCCTGGACTTAATGAAGCACAGTGGACCAACACCAGCAGATGACATGGCTCCCCAAATCAACACAGACTGTGGAAACTTCACATTGAACTTCAAGCATCTTGCAGTGTGTGCCTCTCCATTCTTCCTCCATACTCTGGGTCTTTGCTTTCCAAATGAGATGCAAAAGTTGCTCTCATCAGAATAAAGGACTTTGGACCACTGAGCAACAGACCAGGTCTGTTTTTCTTTAGCCCAGGTAAGACGCTTCTGACATTGTTTTTTGTTCAGGAGCGGCTTGACAAGAGGAATACAACATTTGAAGCCCATGTCCAGGATCCGTCTGTGTGTGGTGGCTCTTGATGCACTGACTCCAGCCTCAGTCCACTCCTTGTGAAAGTCCCTAACACTTTTGAATGGCTTTTTCCTGACAATCCTCTCCAGGCTGCGGTCATCCCTGCTGCTTGTGCACCTTTTTCTTCCACACTTTTCCCTTCCACATAACTTTCTATTAATGTTCTTTAATACAGAACTTTGGGAACATCCAACTTCTTTTGCAATTACCTTTTGAGGCTTTCCCTCCTTATGGAGGGTGTTCATGATGGTTTTCTGCACAACTGTCAGGTCAGCAGTCTTTCCCATGATTGTGATTCCTACTGAACCAGACTGAGAGACCATTTACAGGCTCAGGAACCCTTTGCAGGTGTTATGGCTTAATTAGCTGATTAGAGTGGGACACTTTGAGCCGAGAATATTGCACCTTTTTTACAATATTCTAATTTTCTGAGATTGTGGATTTGGGGTCTTCATGAGCTGTAAGCCATAATCATCACAATTATGACAAATCACGGCTTGAACTATCTTGCTTTGCATGCAATGAGTCTATCTCATATATTAGTTTCACCTTTTAAGTTGCATTGCTGAAATAAATGAACTTTTGCACGATATTCTAATTTTTTTGAGTTTCACCTGTATATGGCTGTACGATATATCACAGAAAAAAAAAATTGTGCAATGCTAAAAACATATGAATAACAAAAACAGACTCATTAAATTGACCAAAAGGAAAAAAATAAAGTCCAAAGTTCCATACATGAGTGACTCCCACCAAGTGAGTGAAACAAAGTGGCAAAAAAGAAGATCCTCTTCTTAAAGAGGACCTTCACTCTCAATCAGCATGGACTATTTTTAATCCTTATGCTGCTAGCATTAGTAAATAGATGTATAGCATTTTTCAATGTGACTTCTGCGCTACCCAATATATCTAAAGTTTAAGTGTGTTAGAAAACTGGTGAAAAACTCGTGATTAGGTGCAGCTCACATCAGTTTGCATTCCCACACTTAATACATATTAAAATTAAAAAGATAAATGTAGTGCTCCCTTCACTAAACTAAATCATAATAAATCCATGTAACATAAATGCATGTGCTAATATATTAAAAGTAAATACAACCCCAAGTGTTATACAATACAATTGGGGCTCATGTACACTGCAGCTGATAAACTCACATTTAGGAGCTGTTC